ATACTACCTACGACATTAGATGCTTCTACAATGCATAATACATTTCTAAGGAAAGCATTTATTAAGTACAATACTGCTGTTCCTTCAAGTGCTCACGTAGAGCGCTTGTTTAGTGCTGGTGGCCAGTTGTTAAGTGAAAGAAGAGGATCTATATCTGATCATAATTTTGAAAAAACTTTATTATTAAAGTTCAATAAGTATTTCTTATAACAATTTATATTTTAAATTTAAGGTACAGCTATAAGTTATAACAATGATTTATAAAATAATAAAGTCTGTGTATTTGTTATTAATTTGCTTTACTTTATACCAAAACTAGTTATTTTCCTCCGATAAGGTAAAAAAATGTTTATGAGTGGGTAAATTAAAGGTATTTAAAAAAATAAAAGTAACTTAACTTTTAACTTAACTTAGTTATTATTTTCATGAAAATTTGTAACTTAACTTAGTTACTCAAATTCAGCAACTTTTTAAAACTAACTTTAACTTAGCTTAGTTATTTTTTATGTTAAGATAACTTAACTTTAACTAGTTAAAATAATTGGTTAACTTGCCCAGCTTTGTTAGAAATAGAAGTAGAACATACAAACGGCAATATAAACATTGTGCGCCTAGAAAATACCGTAATGCAACCGAGCATACAAGTTTTCTTATCACCAAAAATAGTCACCTAGCTTTGGTCACCCAACTTCACACTCGTAAACATAAAGATATAATATATCATATGCATATTATATGTACAATTATTGCAGACATGCAGTGTATGTATACATATATAATCTAAGTATCATTTATCACGTATTCACACCAAAACAGTGGTAAATCCTCAAAATCAGGTACAATTTCAATCAATTTAAATAAAACTAACCTTAATGATATATTTTCTTAAATTAAAAAAAAAAGGGATGTTGTTTAAATGCAACATGATTTATATTGTTATTTTTTTTTCATATAGTAGGTACATTTAAAATGTTCAAAAAAAAAGGGAGGGGGTAATGTAACGTATGCTACATCATTACGTTTATTTTATAAGCATCATAATATGCACATTAGGCATATTATGCGCTGACTATAATAATATATTAAACCCCTCCGGTTTAGGTGACACATATATATTTTATGATTGTAAGGCTCCGGCCAATATCCCTATGTAAGAGAATGGCAGTTCTCCGCGAGTCCATCACGTGCACCTGAACTCCGTACAATCCTACATTTTTGGGAACTTTGTTCGTAAATTGTAAGTTATAATTTACTTGGTTTGAGGTTGAAGAAATTAAACGGTACTCCCGAAACACATTACCGAGCACTGTGCGTGCAATTATGCGCATTATTTTCCAAGATAGACTTCTAGAAGAGTATAGCTATAATGGAATAGGAAATAAAAAAGTTTTTTAGATATTGGCAACATGTTCTATTATATATTTTGGTAAGTTTGATTAGTTATAATATAATATTATGATTTTGTTTTTTATCATAGGTATAATAAATTTATCGCAGACTCATATAGTACTACTATACATCTCTTTACGTATATTATATTATCTGTTGATTATTAATTAGATAAAGAACTCTATAATATTATTGTAAATAATTTTATTACATTTTTATTTGATAACAGAGGCAATCCAAAAAATTAAAAAATTCAGCAAGTTTGATGCTATAGATGTTGAAAATCCTCTAAAAATATTTATAGCTGGTGCCAAATTTAGAGACTCTACACGCAAAAATAATCAAAATCAGGAAGCTGAACTATTAGATAATGCATCAGCTTCGGCTAATACATAAATTAAATATATATTTTTAACTTATATATATTTTAATATTTTTTAATGTATAAAATTAAAGTTAAGAACATACCTAAAGGAATTATCAGACATAACTATCTACCTATTAGTAATCATTAAAGATTTTTCATTTTTTTTTTTTTTTTAAATTCATTAATTATTATTATTAAAAGCAAATTGTATGATTTGAATTTTATTAATTTTATTTTTTAACATTTAATATTGTAATTTCATTGATACAATAAATATATATAATACTAGCTGATCCCGTGCACTTCGTCGCCCTTTAAATGTATCAACTCAATATGACCTAATATATTGTAAGGCCTTACGTCTTCTGGGATTCATACGCCGCCACACCAAACACTTCAACTTAGCACCTTGCATCATAACCCTTTATTCTGCTCTCATTCGTTCAATTCTCGACTATGGTTCAATCATTTGGAATCCTCATCTTAAAACGGAAATAAAACTTATTGAACGAGTCCAGACTCGATTCCTAAACTAGGCAGGCTTCTTATTAAAAATTGAACACCCCCTACACTCATACCAACCTGTCATGGGCGCGCTTAATCTCCTCTCCCTCGAGGAAAGGCGACTAATTGCGGATCGTAACTTCCTTTTAAAATTAATCCAGGGTAAAATTGATGCTCCGCGTCTCCTTGAGCGTATTAGCTTTAGAGTTCCTACCGCCAATACCAGATCAACCAATTCCTTTCATATCCCAACTTCCCGTTCAAACTTTTTATCTAATGATCCTTTTGTTAGAGCTATGCATGATTTAAATAATAATAATTTTGATATATGGCCTTACATTTTGTATTCTCCTAACGCGTGTAATTTTCCTATTATAATTATTATTGTTCTTATTTTTTAGTATATTGTTAACATTATCATTTATGTATATTATTCTTATCACTAACGTTAATTTATGTAATATCGTTATTGCTATATGTAAAAAGCCGTTTGGCGGTATAAATAAATAAATGACTCAAACTTTGTTCAATTCGTTATTCAATATTCGGTGTATGGTGTTCAAGATTTATCTTATCTTTTCCGTTGCCCGAAATAAAAAATTCTGAATAGCAGCAGTAGCGGTAGATCGCGGACCCCGTGCTGTTTGTTCGGAAGTGTATGATTTAACTCTAAAGTATCAAAGTTATACCAAGTTTGTCGTTATTACTTAATTCCACCTACGGTGGATGAATCATAATGAATCACGGTATATAATCAATTAATACAAAATAATAAACTAACCGTACTAAAATATGATGACTAAAAAAACAGAGGTCTAATCAACAGACAAATATTCATTTATATAATATTATATAGCTAAGAAAGAATAAATAAATAAATAAAGAACCAGCCAAATGATAGACTTGCCTTTAAACTTTAAATGTTTGCATAACATTTACATGTCTTATTTCTGTTGCACCAAACTATGTCATTTGGCGATTGTTATTGCCATTGTTCTTTTGACTTAATCTGAGTAAACGTTGACGTTTTATTATATTCGATGGACGACCTAAATTAATTTTCCTTTTCATTGTGATAAATGGTTACACAGGTCAGAATATATCGGTTCGTCCTTAGTAGCCGGCAGCCTCGGAATGCATTCACCGCACACAACGCGCGTTGATTTTAATGAATCCTAACCTAACGTACTAATTGAATATGTACAATAACAAATAGTCGATGTATTATATTATAATAAATGGTTTGTTTGTGCTCGTGGCAATTACTTAAAACGATTAACTATAATTCTGTATTGAAATTTATAGAACGAATCATTTTATAGGACGTCACTCATGGCAACCATTTACAAACAAAAAATTCGATCTGAATTTTATGAAAATTTATAATCATTGATAACTTCTTTGTTTATTAAGCTAGAGAATCGATCAAATGCCATAAACCTTCTCCGCAATGAGCTCTTCAATTTTTTTAAAAAAAATCATAACGATCGGTTCAGTAGTTTCCGAGAACATATCACTCAAAGGTTTTCATTTTCACATTTATATATTAGATTTGTCATTATGTTCATATTTCTACTACTTATTACAGCTTGTCTAGTCCTCAGCTATTATGATTATTAAATATTATTAGTTATATAATATATTATAATAGTACTCGTAGGTCTGGCTAGCAATTCAATTATTTGATATATCTTTTACTGATATCTATATTGAACCATATAGATCAAAAATAATATCAAATTTATTAATATTAAAATAAATTATAGTTTAAAATTACCATCAGAATTATATTAAAAAATAATAATCTTAAGAAATTTATAAAATAATATCAAATTAATTTAAGATAAGGATCATCAAATAATAGTTAGAAAAATAACAATATAAAAATGATTATTTTATAATAACAAATTAATTTAAAATAAATGACGTTAATTTATGGTTGAAGGGTAATATTTTTAAAATGTATCAAAAAAATGTTCATATGACATTTAAAAAAAAATCATAAATTAACAATATAATTGTATCATTCATCTATCCTCAGACTAGTGGCCAAACAACAATATATAATTATTAAAATAACATCATTTTAATTAGAAAGTGATGAAATCCTAATAATTATATAATCATATCATTAACAAATAAATAATATTTTGATGTCAATAAAATCTTTTTTTGCTATCTGGGATATACATATGGTTAAATTATTTTATGAAAAAAAAAATAATATTTGATTTGTACAATTGTTCGGTAATTATTTATTGTTATAATTTAAACTTAATATTAAGGGGATTCGATGCAGCGTATTTATTTCATGATTTAGACCTAAAAGCCTGACAAAAATACGCCTACTTAGAATTGTCAGATTTTAATTCTGTAAAAAGATTCGAGTTCATTGACAATTTTCCTAGGCTATTGTGGGAATCAATTTTCGATATTTTTTTTAGAATTCACGTTAAATCATATTTCGATTTCTCAATTTTTTGAAAATTGTTTGTCTTTCTTTAAAAAGTTAAACAGTTATTCAAAAAGATTAAAAGAGATTCGATATGACAGATGCTAATAGCATGAGTGGTGACATGGGCGCGGGCGGCAGCCAAAAACGTGGTCCACCCTCGCCAGGTGGCCACGTGGCCAAACTTTGAAACAGCCAGGGGAGCTGAACGACCTCATTAGCTGGATCGAGCAGACCGTTATCCAGGAGAATGAGGAGAAAAACATAGACGTGCAGGTGGCTGAGAAAATGCTCCCCAAAATTAACAGGCTGATAACTGTAACTCAGACCTTGTCACACGAGAACAGCAGACTTTCAGGTGAGCTGAAGGGCAAAAACGAAGCCCTTCAACAGAGCCTCACTGTGTTTATTGACGAGCTCGATACGAAGAACGCTGAAACCAGCGGGCTGAAGGCCGAACTGGATGCGTTAAAGGCCGCTAAGGCAGTACCTTGCCCGACACCAGCCCAACAGCAAACATATGCCGCTAAGGCAGCATCAAGAATCGTAGCCGCGCCAAAGACCGTAAGCGCACCCCTAGTTAAGTCCAAAAGGACGGTCGAGAGGGACCGACTTAATAAAAGCAGAAAAGTCAAAGCAACATCTCGCTTCCTAATCGAGATCCCGCAAGATATGACAGTTGCGAACGCAAAAGTGGGAGTTTGGCCGACTGTAAGGGCGAAGTGCAGTAACCCTAAAGCCGAAACCATAGTTAGTGGAAAGTCACTAGTAATCATCCCTGATATAATACGTTATATAATAAGTTGGTGGTGATGAGGGGTATTGATAATATAATTGAGATAGGCCCGAAGAAGCCCTGCGTCTTCATTTATGACGTTGACGGTGGCGTAAACAAAGACGAACTGGCCGAATGTCTTTTGGCGCAGCACGCAGAGCTTGGCCTCACAGCGGAAGACATAGGCAAAATAACGCCGCTTCATAAGCTGGGCCCGCGAAATAGTGATGTGGTCCACTGGGTGGTGGAAGTACCCCCGGGCGTTCTCGACAAAATAGAGAACAAATCCCTACATATTGGTATGACCAGATGTAGGTGCAAAGTCCACAGCTCACTACCGCAATGCTATAATTGCCAGCAGTACGGTCATACGGCGACAAGGTGCGAGCAGAAGGCGCCCACGTGTAGGAACTGCGCGGGGGCACACGACTCAAGGACCTGTAACGAGGAAAGAGTGAAGTCTGCCAACTGCAAAGGACCGCACAGAGCGTCTAGTTCGGCCTGCAAGACCAAGGGATAGGCGGCCCGGAGCCTCTTAAGGCTGACGGATTTCAGCTCCAAATGACCGAATCCGTGAAAATCGTACAGCACAACGTCAACAGACAGAGAATAGGCAGCTCAGGGACTTCTGCATTGAAAGCTCAGCAGACGTTGTGCTGGTACTGGAGCCAGTCACGTGCAGTAATAACAACATCTACGGTTTCAAGAACTTTGGACAAATAACGCGTGGTGATGAAGCCGGTGCGGCCATTATAATACTAAATACCCATATTCAGGTAATTTAACTTACTAATATGTCTAGCCAGCATATAACAGTTGTCAAGCTGAGTCAGAGGCAGGGACTCTGAAGCTGTAGCAGTGGTGTCGTCATATTTTAAGTACAACATGCCGACTACCTACTTCATTGAGAAGTTACATGTGGTTCTCGCACAGGAACCCCGCACGATTATCGGAGCCGATGTCAACGGTCACTCCTGTCTTTGACAATGTCCAAGAAGCAACAATAGAGGCCTGTTGGTGGAAGAACTGATAGAGGACTTCGACCTCACAGTGGCAAACATGCCGGGTCATATTCCCACGTACAACCGGGAAGGCATGGGCTCGTCGAATATCGACGTCACATTGCTCACGCCCCAAGCTCGGAACTTAGTCAGTGATTGGACAGTTCGCGACGTCACCGACAGTGACCACAATGTGGTGTCGTACAGTCTCCGCCTCCGCGACAGTGTCGCACGTGGTCTGGTCACCCACCAATTTAACACAAGAAAAGCATATTGGGATGCTTTTGCACGGAACTTGTGGGTACTCAAACCGACCATAGATGGTTCAACGGTCGATACGTATGCTCGTACTATCGTAAGCGCGATCCAGGAGGCTGCGAGGAAAGCCATCCCGCAACTCAGGCGCTTAGGTAGCCACACCAGTAAGCAGCCCTGGGGGGCGGTTTTGATAGAGTGAGTCATTTGACACATAACAACTTCATCCATCTCATTTCATTCACTTCATAATTTAGCAATGAGAAAATATTTAAAGCCACCGTAGTCACTGATCTCATCTCACGAATATCATTTATGATATCACAACTCACTTTACCTGGAGAAATTAATAAATAATTTTTCCACCATGAATATATGTAAATTTTATAATGAATAAAAATGATAAAATCTAAAAATAATTTTTATTGTTGTATAGAATTATTATATTTTATTTATATCATCATGATAAATAATTATTAATTAATAATATTCTATCATGGTAAACTTTTGTCACAGGATTTCACGGTTGTAAAAAATAGTTTTTAGTTGTGATTTATTTTTTATTAACCATTATAACACCCGTATAAACAATAAAGATGGCACGTATAAGTGAAAACCAGAAAAAGGTCATGGCAGATTTTTTTATTCCCAACTGTTCACATTTGAACACGGAAAAAGGCTGTGGAATGAATTAGGTTAACTTTTAAATGCCAGTGGAAAAGCCCAAAAAGTGGAAAAAAGTAAGTTGTTAAAATAAGTGATGGTAATTGGCACTTTTTACTCTTTTGGTATTCTTATAATTATTTCTTGTGCTTTTGCTAATTTGTATTTTAATTGAAATATTCATCTTTCCAGTCTAATCTACATTATCAATAACGAACAGGCAGAGTCCCCCAAGATTTGGTTTCATTTAAATATGTAAAGACCTTCCAAATAAAAACTGTAATTATGCCTAAGAGTGTTGCTGTTGGTTTATTGAGACTTAGTAATTTTTATGTTAAATTAACATAATTTTAACTAGTTGAAAAAAATGACCAACTGCACAGGTTCGGAAGTGAGTAAGTGACATGATGTAGAAAGACAATTGAAGATGATATTGTTATAACACAAGAGAATATAAAGGTTATGCTATGGATTTTTAAAATACATTACAATATTGTACAATTTGTAACAAAGTATTACATAATGTAAGCCTCATGGAAATATATCTAATTTGATAAGTATATCATCCAAGTTATTACGATATGTACAACCTATTAAAATATTAAAAACGTATATTAATTTTCTAGACAAGAGGACTATTAAAGACAAAGCTGCTGTAATAAAACGTGAATCCTTGAAAACTGGAAACAACCAACAAATATTATTCTTTCCCCTCTTGAAAGTAAAATCACTGACATTATTGGGGAAGTATTGATTAGTGGAGATCCAGAAGTACAAGAGGTAGGTATCAGTCAAACCGAAGTTATTGTGGCTATTAACTCGGTGTCTCCTGATAAAACTCAACCATCGTATAACTGGAATACAGTTAACGAAAATAATAGTCTCATTGATGATGATAAAATTGTAAATGAAAATGTTCCTTTAACACAAAATATTTCACCAAAAAAAAAGCTTCATGCACATACACAGAAGCTTTTGAAAGTGGACCGGGTTATGAATAAATGATTAAGCAACAGAAAAATTTGGCCGATGCCACTATTAATCAAGCTTTGCAAATGAAACGCATAGCATTAGCTTTAGAAGACAGAAATGCAATAGAACGGGAAAGAAATATAATTAGCTATTTTTCATATTCTCAAAATGTTTATATTTTATATTTTATTTATATTTTTATTTAATATATTCAATAATTATATTGTATTTAATATTTAATGTATAAATATTTAAATATTAAATGTTGAATTTATTTTATAGTTGAAAAATCCATAAAACTCCATAATGAAAGCACTTTGTCATTAATTCAACCATTGGTTTGTGAAACTGTTACTTCAAATACAAATGTATTACAACTGTGCAATGCAGAACATCCACCTTCAAATAAGCTAACACAAGGTATTTATGATTGTTTTGGAAAGAAAAATGTTACATCATTAAATAATATTGTAGAAAAACATATAATATGAAAATTATAGAAAATGTTGATACACTTATAAAAATATGCATTCAGATACAAATCCACTATCCTCAGAGTATGATAAATAAACCAATAATTTTTTATTTTAACTGAATATCCTACTGACCGTGGACATTTTGAAAATATTATAAGCAGTGATATGAAATACAGTATAATGAGTTATGGTCCATGCAGACCTATTATTAACTTTCCTTACTCACCAAATGGTTCCAGTTTTAAGAAAATTTTCAGCCAGTTATTACAATATGACAACAAAATCAGGTTTACAAATTCCTCGATTATGGCTTTTTTATTATATTTTATTAAACCGTGTGTATTGTGAGACGTGTTGGTTGTTTGCAAATAGAAACCAAAAAGGATTCAAAAACAATTGGATTGTAGGGATAAATGACTGGCATCACATGAATGACAAAATTAATGATCATGAAAAATCCCAAACACATATTTATGCCAGTAGTGTTCGACTTCATTGGTCAGAGAATAAAACTATAAATAGACATACGGAAGAACAAATTTCCAAAGAAGCAGATTTTTGGAAAAATGTACCAACCCGAATAATTAAAATAATTTTGTACTTGACTGAAGGTAATACAGCACTCAGGGGAAACGAAGGTAGTGGAAAAAATAAATCCAATAGTAAAGGTAATTTTATATGAATTGTTAAATAATGAGTGTTTGAACTTCCCGCCGCTTTCGGTGCAACATTTGGCAACCGGTCCGCGAGACAGCGCACCGCGCGTCTCGCGGACGCCGGGCTTCGGCCAAATCGCCGCCGGCGACAAAAAGCCGTCTTTGCCGTGTGCTCGTTGCGTGCAGACCCAATCGTGCGTCTTTGCCGCACGCTCCATGCGAGCAGACCGTGCGTGGTTCGTGTCCGGCCGTTATTTCGATACCATTTTAGCGACAAGTTCGCTGCCATCTTTAGCGACGAGTTCGCTGTCATTTCGCGACGAGTTCGCTGTCATTTCGCGACGAGTTCGTGGTCCGTGTAATCCGTGCGTTTATTTATTATTCATTTAGCGACGAGTTCGCTTCCGTTGCGACCTAACCCTGAATGTTTGCCCTTGCGCTTTGTTTATCGTAATGGAAAAAGAAACTTTAACCGGGAATTGAAACCGTTTGAAAGAAAACGGCAAGTCTGAGGGAATCATGGGAATTCTTGGAATAAATGCGATCTCTCCTTTTGCTGGCCCTGTAAGAATTACTGCTTCTATAATATTATTTCGCAACGATTTTATTTGTAATCTTGTACCGTTACATAAGTTCGGTGGTTGAATATTACGTAATAATGTAATTGGAGCACCAATTTTTAATTTTAGCTTACGAGGAGGAAATCCCGAAGGAGAAAGAGAATTGAGAAATTCTTGTTTATAATGAATAGCATCATCTGTTGATGTAACTGTATCAATAGACAGATATTCACGTGAGTGTCCATCGAATTTTAGAAGGATGATATCATTGATTTCTCCTGCTGTTACATTTCTCGGAGAGATAATAGCTCTTTCACATAACCACTGATAAGATTTATTGGACAGATTAAAAATGTAAGGATAAACTGTAGAAATCAACTCTTCCACGTTATTGACCACCCGTCCAATTGTGTGATTGACAGAAATGTAACCATTTTCATTTTCTAAAGTACCATTTCCAATTTTCAACAACTTTGCTGGAAAAATATCGTCCCCTCCGCATAAATAAACTCTCATGTTTGTTCGCAAATAAAGTTTTTCAACATAGTTCCATATAAGGGAAGATTTTAAGCAAGCATTAACGACATCAGCTCGAGGACCTTTTGGGATCACTGGTAAGGTTTGACGGAAATCACCAGCGAAAACAAATGTTATGCCACTCATCAACTTATTATTACACTTAAGATCTTTTAATGTTCGATCGATTGCTTCGATATGTGATCTGTGACTCATTGTACACTCATCCCACACAACGAATGATGTTTCTTGAAGAATTTTTCCAAGAGGGCCATTTTTACGAATCGGACAAATGTATTCTGTATCAAATAATACATTTAACGGTAACTAGAAAGTCGAGTTAGGAGTTCTGCCGCCACTAAGTAGAGTTGCTGCTATACCAGATGAAGCTACTGCTAATGCAACTTTACCTGAGGATCTAATTTGAGCCAACAACAAATTAAGTAGGAATGTTTTTCCTGTACCACCCGGAGCATCTAAAAATAATAATCTTCCTTGATGTTTCATTACGCTTTCTGTAATAACATTAAAAGCATATTTTTGATCATTTACTAATTTTGGTAAATTGATGTCTACAAATTCTTGTAATCGATTATTATCGTAAGAACCCAAAATTAATAATTCAAAACGATCAGATGTATTTTCGTTTCAAACAGGTGACTTCATTCTAAATTCTATTAAATATTTTTCAGACAAACAAACAACTTTATCTTCTACACTCTTTTTGTGAAGATCGAGTGAGCTCTGTATGAAGAATATCATCACAAAAATCATTTCTGAACTGTTGTCACAAAGATTGAGGTTCAGACGGTTGGCCGAAAACTATGATTATTGCGAATAATTATCTTAATTTAAAAGGACTTTCTGAAACAGTTGCATCTGCTAGAGCATTTTTCCATTGCTCGTCATTTTCTAAAAGCCCAAGAGCAAAACAGGCAGTTTTAAAAGTAGCGTGAATGTCTCCATCAATGGCCTTCAAGCTTTCAAATGAAGTAAGACCTTGTACATAATTTAGTAACAATCTTAAATGGAAGCACTCACTTTGATTTGGGTGAATCGTGTAAATTCTACCAATGGCAGTGTCCATTTTTATTCCTGTCCAACCTGGAACATCTTTTCCCCGTCTTCTCTTTAACCAGCCTCTGCTATCATCCCAGGTATAATAAGAAGGAACTTCATGATACAACAGTGTTTTCGCAAAATCATCATGTGATCACAGTTCAAAAAATGCAGTTAGTGTCGTTTTTCTTGGATTTTCAATAACTTAATGAAGATTATTAGCATTAAAGAAAACACGCTGTCCATTTTCTAGATGAACAGCCAAGTGCTTAATTGTCGGATCTCTATCATGGATTTCAAAATTGTAAATTCTCCGAAACGCTTCAGAAGTACATATATATCGACCATTCAAATAATTTGTAATCTCATCGTTTTCACGATTAACAGAAAAAATAGCTCTATCTGATCCTTTATTAATGTATTTACATATGTATTTTATCGCTTTAACCAAATGACAGTATTCTACGTTAATATGCGCATTTAAGCACCTAGGTAGCACTGGACAATATGGTACAACCCAACGGTTGTCAACCACGATTTCTTTTTTACCTCGAACTTTTAATATTTCAGTATAACCTCCATCATCTGGTGATCTCCGTCTGTAAGTAGGATAACCATCATTTCCAGTTTGAGTATCCTTGACCAATTTGCGAGGGTATTTCTTAATACATTTTCCATTATTCATACATGGCGATCTAATATTTAACTCTCCGCATGGGCCATGAATCATATTCTTGCATACTATTTCATAAAGTATAGGATCTCTGTCTTTGTTCGGTATTTCAGCAGAAATAATGTTATCAATTTCATCTCGCTGAATTTTCGTTTGTAACCACAAAAGAATGTGGCAGTGTGGCAAACCTCGTTTTTGCCATTAAACACTGTAAACATAACAATTAACATCTATGAAAATACTTTTATTTTTTAATACATGCATAAACTTTTTTAGTTTTAGATGAAAAACTCTAGATATTATATCGTGTCTATCAAACGACTTTTGGTCTTGAAATAATTCATTTTTAATTTCAAGCCATTCCGGGTTGCATGTGAAAGTAATAAATAAATCTGAATGGCCAAATTTACGAACATAAGTCATGGCGTCCTGATTTTTTTCATGCATGTAACGTGGTGATCCATTAAAAGATTAGGGAAGAATTACTTGTTCCCCCACGTTATTAGCATTAATATTTGCATCATTGTTAACAGCATCTCGGAGGTGAACATAATCATCCGCAAGTTGTTGTTTTTGATGGTTACGAATAAAGTGTAGTCTTTCAGAAATAATTTTTGCCATCATATCTACGCGAATTTGCTGAATAATGTTTTGTAATAATGTAGATGATTTATACTTGTTTCTCTAACCATAAACCTATAACAATAAAATTGCATGCAGGAGACGGTTTTTGTTCGTTGGTTTTTTTGTAATATTAATGTGATATTCGTCTTCACCTCTAGTAAACATTAACGGTTATTGCAGTGCATCATAAGATCTATTCAATTCTGAAACTCTACTCAATTGTTCACTCCGACCGTGCAGAACTATATGTCTGCGACCTTTATCTTCATTAACTAATAATACAGCTACTTCATCGATAATAGGTGCATTATATTGACCTCTGTGTTCATCTTGAGGAACTCTGTCAGCATGAATAATTAACTTAAAGTTTTGCAATTCATCAAAGGATCTCCACTCTATATTAGATCTGAAGCTCTGTATGAGGTGATTATTTTCACGCAAAACTGTTTGCAATGATTCAATGAGACCTCTTTTTAAATTTGGAATCATATTTGTTCGAATAGATATTTGATCCGACTCTGACATAAAATATATTTGTAAAAATTTAGCATTATTTCCAATTTTGGGTAATAAACTACCTATTAAATGATGCACTTGACCCTGAATTTTAAAAGTGGGCATGAAGCTCAGCTACTTCGTTTGCTCCAAACAATGTCATTTGAAACAGAGTATTATACCGTCTAGAATTATCAAAGAAATGTTTTGATAGAGGGTGAGAACTATCAATTAAACTTTTAATTAATTCTGGAAGATCCTCAAATTGTTGTTAAACAACTTTACCGTCAGCGCAGCAAAGTCCATTGGTTTCATCTTTCCATTTTTTTGCATGGCACTTAGGACATAATATCGTCATTGGTCCTATTTGAAGCGCTTTAATATTTAAATAATCAATCACGGATTGATAATTAAACGCTGATTTCATACTCAAAGCGTTACGTTTGAGAACGTTCTGGTGTGTTATACATTCTGTTATACATTCGAGTAGCATTGTCAGTTTTTCTGCCAATGTATGCTCTTGGCGCTCTTGAAATGATGATGAATTAGCCACTTACCCGAAATTTAACTCATAAGAATAATCAAAAAGTAAGCACAAATTATCCTCGTAATGGGCGTACACGTAATTCACAAAAAATAATAACTCAAATCAACAAACATGCCCGATTAACCAATAGCAACCATAATACACTATTATTATTTTAATCTGCAACAACAACAACTTTTTATTATTTAGTTTATTTTTTCTGGACAGATTGCGCCACTGTTGTATTTTTGACATCCATATTTCCTACTTTCTGGTCTATTTTTCTAAACAAAAGTGGTCCTATGACCTCCAGCAGACTGTCAAGTATAACAGTAAAAAATTTCAGCCAAATCGGTTCGGTAGTTTTCTCGGTTAGTTCGGTCTAAGAAAACCCTTACCATTTCATATAATAGTATAGATAATGAACTTATTATTTCATGTGTTTTTATTTATAATAAATTAATATGATGGATATTAAAAAGTGTTGTTCTTTACTAAAATGTATGTTTTACATGTATGAAATACTTTTTAATAATGATTATGTTTGTTTGTTGAATTTTATCTAACTGACTCCAATAAATTTGTTCACTAATTTAAACCCTGGTGCAGTGATGCTAGATAGTGGCCCCTAAATAATCTTTTGTCCTAAGGCTCAAAACTTCTAGTTTCGGAACTGGGTACTAACCCATCTTGTCAAAGATAAACTATTTGGCCGTTTTTTAATAGTCATGTGAGGCCTTAATCTGGCAATAATATAATGCACACATTCTTATGATAACCGAAAGTCCTTTATAAATTTGGTATCACTAATGAGGAATGGGTCTTTAGCACCTCTTAGAAGTTAAGTATACAAACATTATTAGTAACTTAAATTTAAATGACTGAATGTCTGAATGGAAGTTAGGAAATACGAGATGAATATAGAATTATAATTTACAGAAAGTATAGCCCCTAAATCCCCCCCTATTTTCACCTGTGATAGTAGGTATTTAACCATAGACCTTAATATACAGTCCATGTATTTACCTCATTTGTTGTCTATATTGTATTCTTCTCTGTCTTGGATTAGGAATTCCAAAAAGTAAAGGCATTCTAAAAAGTAGGTAGTAAGTACGTTTACCTTGCACGGAAAAAATTATGTAGTTGATGTTACTATTATTATAATTATTCCAACTATATTTTATAGTTATATATAGGAAAAATATAATATTAGTTGATAATACTATATTATTATAGTTATCGTATTATAGCAATGATAACTATAATATAGTAGGTAGTGACAACTAAAACATTGCAATACCTTTTTAGTAAGAACTACTAAACCTTTTAGCTGATGTTCCTAACATTTATAGTAGCTTCTGCTATATGATTTAGTTAGGTATACTAAATATTTAATGAATTTATAGTACTGAATACTATACATTTTAGTTAATCAACCTACATTTTATAGTAGTTCCTACTATACTGTTTAGCTGATGATCCTAACATTTATAGTAGCTTCTGCTATATGATTTAGTTAGGTATACTAAATATTTAATGAATTTCTAGTACTCAATACTATACATTTTATAGTAGCTTCTACTATACGGTTTAGTTAGAAACTTTTAATCTTTAACGACCTTATAGTAGAAACTGCTATATGTTGTAGTTAATCAACCTATATTTTATAAAATACAAAATTGATATGATATATACATAGGTACCATTACAATTAATAAATAAATTAAACAAATTAGAGGTAAATGTAAAAATGTTTAATGTTTATTTTTATTAAAATACAATTAGGTAATAACAATGTATTTGAGTTAATATTAATACAAATGAAAAAATATATTAATTAACTCATTATAAGGTTTTTGTATACATTGGTACATTTATAATAATTCTTACAAATAGGTAGAGAAATGATACAAAAATAAAACATACATATTTTATTTTGTTGGTATGAATGTTAGTCCAGATATATGAACGGCATGAGTAGGAAATATACTACCCAATTTCTCCAAAGAAATACATATTAAATTATTTGTTTTATCAACATTAAAAGCTTGAAAGTGGTCATCAAAATATATAGTTTCATACATTTCACAAATGGCAAATTAATGTTTTTCACCAGTTATAAAAATGTCTTTAATTAAACCAAAAGATAGCATCATAGTGTCACCATCATCTTCAGAAACAACGACACACATATTTTTACAATTATAAATTGAACCTTTGATATTCACCCAGGACACAAATGTAATATTATCAACACATAAGTTAAATTTTTTATTTAAAAATGTGATTCTATTATTGTATAAATCTAATGTGAAAGAATCTAATGTTAAAACACGTCCAAATTGTATAGGAATTGTATACAAATTATTATCAGAAGATAATAATCTGTATGCCAATTGCAACTGCTGTTTCAAAGCCAGGGAATATGCAATATTTTTGCGAGAAGTAATAGCATTAGCAGCATCTTTCAACTCTTTATGTTTTGCTTCGTACCTTATTGAAGAAAATAAATTTAACGGTCCTGATTTTTGCATTATAAGTGGGTAATGTACCATGTGGTGATGCTTAGGTTTTAGTCCTATACGAAATAGTTTTAACCTTCCAGTGGGCGCGCCATTATTTGAAACAAGACAGGTCGCGCGTTGTAAATTTTACAACAGTCCTAATATGCTGTGATAGTCGTTCATATTACATCTAATAATAAAATAAACAATAGGTACGTTCACAAAGTTGTTTTTATTTAAATACTATTATAATTATGTTCTATTAAAAAATCAATACGTCTTATTATTATTACATAAAAAATTAAAATTATTTTTAGTATTTGTTTACAGTAAGAAATTATTCAGAATTGTCATTGTCATCGTTATTAGAACACTTTTCACAAATAATAATTTTTTTTGAATGTAGCTTACATATAAATCGCATACACTTGGTGCACTTCATAGATGTAGCCGCATTTTTTTTTCTCCCACATTCGAAGCAAGTTCCTCGTTTTGAAGGGGGGGTTGTAGATACATCTGATGTACTTGGAACAGCATATTTTATTTTCAAAAAAGATGATATGTCCGATGGTAAACTTGAGATTTGAGCTCGAGAAGCAAGATGTTCCTTCATTAGATCAAATGCCAATGTTTTCAAAAATAATCTTCTCATTTTAGGGGCATTGTTATGTTTAGAGTATGAAAACAGTACCTGAGCATTTATTCCAGCAATATTCATCAAAGAATAAAAAATTACAAGTGGCCACCTTTTTGTAATTCTAGAGACAGAATATGCCGCACACATTTTATCTACTGTATCAACTCCACCTTTGGTACAATTATAATCCATAATTATTTCTGGTTTACGAGTTTCTACATCAATTTTTGAATCATGGTGCATAGTTGAAAGCAAAATAACTGCCTTGTTTTTTCGTGGTACGTATGACACTAATGTTTTATTTTTTTGAAACCCGAACACGCTCGAACCAACTTCTTTTTTTTTATCTGGTAAAAATTCTGTAGGTATTTCTCGCTTGTTTTTTTTCAAAGTTCCAGTTAGAGTAATTTTTTTTTGTAATAAGTAATCTGCAAGTGGAATACTGGTATACCAGTTGTCAGTGGTAAGATTTCGTTTAGAGTTTTCGATGGGTGTTACTAATCGTTTCACGATATCAATTGGTGAATTAGAAACCTCATACGGACCAGGTGGTTGTTTTCCAACATAAATCTCTATTTTACTCGTGTAAAATGTTTTTGCATCACATAATGCAAACATTTTGATGCCATATTTGGCCGGTTTACTTGGGATATACTGTATCCATTGACACCGACCACGAAATGGGTGTAACATTTCGTCAATAGTAGTATATTCACTCAAATTATAATTCTGATTGATATTTTTCAAGAAAAGGTCAAACGTAGTACGAATAGGAGCCAGTTTATCAATCATCCGTCTTTCAGCTCTAGTTTCGCGATCGTCAAATCTGAGGCAGCGACACAAAAACAAAAATCTTTTGTAGCTCATAGTGGCCCTAGTTATTTCTATACCAGAACCATCCGCCGACCATAATTCTTTTACATTAGCATGATGAGCTTTCTTTATACCAATCAAAAATAAAAGTCCAAAATAAGCCAGTATTTCACATCTTGAAGTATCTAAGCAGTCTCGGGGTCTAGAGTATTGAACTCGTTGTCTCATATTACTAATATACATATTAGTGCACGTTACGATTTCGTCAATCATGTCAAGATCAATTATTTTTAGAAATGCATCTATCTCACTAACGATATTTCTAGCACACTCCTTTGGACCGGGAACCACGTTTATTATATTATGTTGCCTAATTTTTGAAGTTGTAAACTCTTTTTGTTGCCATTTAGTTATTTTATCTTTTCCTATATAGAATGCACTGTCCCCCAAACTAGTCTCTAGATCTGATTCATTGTCTGAAAAATCTTGTTCAGAATTGCTTTCGTGGTCACTTACCTCCACATCTTCAATGCTTAGATCACTATCACTCTCTTGGTCATCAACACAGTCTATTTCAGTTGAAATGTCTTGCAGTAAACTTTGAATTTGCTCAACTGTCATATGATCCGACCTAAGACATAGTATAAATAATATCGATTATTAGTACGTACCAAAACGTATAAAAATAATAAAAAAAAACATATTATAAAAAAAATTAAAATGTATATATTATAATTATATATTGCATAGTGATATAAAACAATACTTACATATTTTTGTTCTTATTACCACACAAAAATAAAAATTACAAAATAATAAGTCAGATACAACGAACGGCGCGTTTTGTGTTTGGCGTAGGTACACGGAATGGCGCGTGTTGTATTTTGTCACAACACTATAAGTACTTCGTCGATTGTCTGCAATAAAGTGAACTGAAACACTTCAAAAATAGTCTAAAACGTAGATAATAACATTACAGAGGAATACCCATGACCGCCGATAAGATAAAAATTAGATAAAAGTTGAATAAACAAATAAATATAAAACTGTTGTATTATTTACAACAGCGCGCCCGCTGGAAGGTTAAGTAAAGTTCATGGTGTTCAGAAATTTAACATTTAAGTAAAACCGTATCCTGCAGTCTGATCCATTTATGAAATATAATATCAATTATTTGTTTAAGAACTATATATAAAGACCAAACCTCAGATTTTTCAGGAATCAGATCACCTATAATTAAGCCAAGATATCTAGTGAAGCATAATGATTCTGCAGCTGACATTTTTATAACTCCTAGTTTTAAATTTTCTGTTGATAGTAATGTAGGCCTGTTACGGATATCAATAGGACCATAATTAAATGTTTCAATCCTATTGTTTAATGTATCTATAGTAAAATATTTAAATTCAAAAATCATATATTTTAATATCAACCCAATATTATATTTACAAACACCCTCAAGCATGTCGTGCATAATATCTACACTATAGTTGTCTGTTGCTCTGAAATAATTCAAATCATTCCTAACCAGAGTTGAGATGTTTAAAACATTTTGTTTTAAACACTTGTTTAAAACATGTTTTAAACATCTAAATTGATCAAACATAGTTTTGTTTAAAACGTTTAAAACAAATGATTTAAACAACATAAAAAAAACAGCTAGTTTAAAACAGAAAATCATAATTTATGCGCATATAACTTATTATTTGTAAGTTCGTACTGGCAACTCCTATTTATTATTATTTTTTAATTCATTAACAAATTTAAAATTTATAAAATGTTTAATGATAATTTTACTTATTTAAATACTAACACTTCAATGGTTATATAATATATTATTTCTGTAGTTCTGTAGGTAATATATTTATTAATTATTTATTTATTAGAAACTTCACTATAATATTTCCAAATGTCATCACGTCTTCGTTCCGTGAACATGTGTTCTATCTTTTAAGTTTTATTTTGTTTCACACTGTCGCTAATGTAGTAATGTCAGATGCAGAAGAATAACTCAATAACATCAAAATTAAATTTCATTGATATCATATCATATTATTATTTAATATTTTTTACCTTTATCATATTTTATAATCGGAAATATTGTGGCGCAAACCCACCAAAATTTAAAATAGTAAATACAGTAATCAGTATTCTTTATCACGATGTAGATAACAGATCAGTTCTTTATCATCAATCATTATCAAAATATTCAAAAACGATTTTTAAGAGTAAAACCGATAGCCGTGGTTAAATTACACGTCAAGTTATAAAAAAATTATGATATTAAATTATTAAATAAATGATTTTTTTTTTAAATAAATTACATATTTTGTTTTAAACTCGATTAAATCATGTTTTAAACATGTTTAAAACAGCTGAAAAAATCATTTTAAAAAAACATGTTTTAAACGATTAAAACAATTTTTTTGATTTTTTTAAAAAAATCATGTTTTTAATCAACTCTGTTCCTAACACATTTTTCTTTTATGCCTGTTTGAGATACATTATTATACTCTGTCCCACGAGAGATCATGCCGGTTCTGCGCATCTCCCTGCGTCTCCCTACTTTCGAAACTGGTTACCCTATGACAGGGTGTGAAGTAGGGGAACCAGTTTTGGTCGGTGCGCGGCATGATCTCTCGTGGAACAGAGTATAGTGATAATATCACAGTTATAATTTAACGAATCTCTTAAACTATTATTATTTTGCACTAATTGATTTTGACATTCAGATCTAGAGCTTTTGCAGAATCGACAGGGATATTTAGCAACAAAACTTTCTACAAATCCCAATATAGAATGTAAGCCAAGATTGTCACCCAAAATTAAACCAACTGAAAAAAATATTTTATATATTTTATTGTTATTTCAAACCCAGTTGTCTCTAAATAATTAAGTTCTGAAATTAAATCTTTAAATATTTTATTATTTCCATACTGTTTTTTGTCATCTGTTTTAAATAAAGAAGCAAGCAATATATGATTTAAGGAAGATGCTAGTTCAGGTGGTAAGCAAGCCAAGGAAATGTAAACAGCACCAAGTTTTTGATTTCCTGCATGAGATCCAAGTGGATTATTAATACCCAAATCATCAAAGTACAAGAACAGAGGAAAAATAATTTTATTTTGGTGAAGTCTTAATTTTGCTTTCCACATCTCTGACTGAACAAAACTGAATATTAATTTAAAAATTATAAAATTCAAGTTCCTTAGTGTAAGTCAATAGCACATCGAAAAAGTTGGAATGTTCAAATATTTTTTTCAATATACAGGGTGTCTCAAACAGTACTGACATATGGAATAACTTTTTTGGCGCTACATGTTTTATATAAAAAAAAAATGTATTTGAAAAATTCAAAATAGCCAATTTATAAAGCCGATTTTTAGAAAAATTTTGATGGTTCAAATATTTATAAAAGTGTTGCCGTTAATTTTCTACAATTTATTTAGTTTTTGGAAATATGAATAATTTTTTCCTTTATCATACCAAAATAATCAACAATCGTCAGTCATCACTGCATAGAGTAATATAGAGAGGCCGTTACATATATCCTCCGTGTTCTAGTAGTGAAGCCAAATGTGCGGTCGTTGACCCTTATCGAGAGTCCAACTGCGCTCTCATTGTCCGCTAGATCGCATAGTTCAATAACGATAAAATTATACTACGATACGTATTTTTTATTATTAGAAGTCTGATTTTTATGATTTTACATAATATATTTTGTATCTTTTCTATGCAATTAAATGGGAGTAAAATATCTTAACAATTTGTAAAACACAGAATTCAAACACCAACTTTTACTCTATATAAAAAAGAATATTATTACGCAATACGTTATAGATTATTTGAGAATATAACACGCATATTATTAAAAATGTTTGTTATATTTTTTGGAAGAAAATAATTATATTATTATTTTTGTACAATTAAACAGCTCCATGTCATTGAGTAATATGGCTAAAGTCTACTTTACCAACCCCCTCACGATTTTCAAAATTTATTTTTTCAAGACTTTTTTTTATACTTAAAACGATGGTGTAATTTTTTTCCCCGGAAACTATTATTTTAGAAGTTATGTTGGTAAAGTAAATTTGTTACAATAATATTTACTCTTTACTTCATATACAATGGAAATTTAAAATTATTAACACCAATTAAGAAACATACAAGATATTTATACAGATGCTGAGATATCTATCTATACAAAATAAAAATAAATGTGTCTGTAAAAACGAACTACCTACCTAATAGTTAATACATTATACATTGAATATTTAAAATAAAAATTATTATACATTATTTTTTTACAGAATATTTTAATTATGTTTTTTTTTTTATTGAGCTTAAGCACGGTGACTATGGCCATCACTCATCAGCTGGATTATTATAATAATTGCTAGCATTTTTAAGTACATACCTAATACGTCATATATTTTGCGTTTTAAAAGAATATGCTGCCTAGTGCCTATTTTGAACAATTAATTAACACCATATTTTAATGGTTTTAAAAATAAATCTGTTATCTAGTTATCAATTTATCATTTTTACATAATGTAATAATTACATTATTGTGTGTCACCGACTGTGTCCTGTGAACTCGTATTGTCGTCTTTTTTGATTTCTCTAGATTCAAGTGAGAACAACTCAAATCATTATTGTTTATTAGTTAGGCATTAACATTTTCAATTGTTTTGAAATCCTTTGAAAAGCGTGATCATAATGCCAAGTTGTTTTTTGTGTGGCAGATCAAAAAACTCTAAGAGCAAGTCTCAGGATATCTCCTTTCACAAGTATGAGATTGTTTAAATATTACATTTTTTTATTATAAAAGAAAAAACAATTGCATTGTTATTTTATAAAAAGATTTTAAGTATTTCTATGATCTTTTTCCAGATTTCCTCTATCTAATCCTGAGTTGATGGGAAAATGGAATGATTTTTTAGTGGCAAACAATCTTAGTTCAAATAGTTTGACTAAAAATAGTTTAATTTGTTCTTGCCATTTTGACTCTTCAAATTTTATTAGCTATAAATCCAGAAGATTACTAAATAATA